ACTTGTAGGACAAGAAGTCTCATACACAGAGAATGCAGCTGAAGTCTGAGGAAGAATGTGGTAGATATAAAGAATGCTCGGAAGTGCAGGAACAGCCCGTACTGGCCCATTGGTCATGATCTCCTTCTTGATGCTGCTTGTGCTCCCGAACCGACTCGGGAGGAGACTTTCAGTGTAGTGACGATCCCTTAAGACAACGAATTGCGACACACAACTTTCAATCTTCGTTACTTGTCGAAAGCAGTCCCATACTTCGCATTGGGGCAGCTGCTTGAGCACGAAGGTGTGTCGTATAGTTCCTTATAAGATAGAGTCTCAGAACACATGTCGTTCCTGTCCCCCTCACTTTCGCACAAGGTTTGTAGTCGGATTCTTTTTGGTGATGAGCACATTTTGGGAAGTTGTACGGCCAACAGCCATCGGCTGCTTTCATATTTTTCTCGGGAACGAATCCTCCACCTGAGTAAGAAGAGTCGGTAGAATCAACAAGAACTGAAAACAGACAGCTTACCTGAGACGATACCATTTGTGTGAAGAAAAGTCCACGATGTGATAGGATTGCCGCCACTACAACCGAAAGATCTGACACCGAGTCAGGATCGGAAATTTGGCTGGGAGCAGCCGAGGAGGCTTGGACGTGTCTTACAAGCAAAAGTGCTCGATATTGCAGCAAGCGAGCATATCCGCGGCGGATAGGAGTTGGTTGAGCTTCCCGCCCGATTTGATGCAGACTCGGGCATTGAATGCCTCAACTGTCCCGAACGCCCAGCAGCTTCCACAAGCCGACTGATCCCTGCAGAAAAGGATGTTAGCGTCGATAAGACGATTCTCTGGGGCGAAAGTATATCAGCTACCTCACGTGACCAATGACGTCCTTACACTCCTTGAACGCATCGCGGGCATCGAAGCTGTCTGGAATGTCAACAAGCTCCTCCGGTGGATAGACCTTCTCCTCGAGCTCTTCAGTCCCGTTAAGGAATGTCCCGCAAAGCTTCTTAGCATCACCGAGGGAACTACCTGAAGGTGACAGACGACACGCCTATAATAGAATAGCATTAGTTCACACAGCTCCCGATGGTGCCCCGACCAGCCTACCGTAGAATCTCCCTTGTTCAGTGGACGCCGTCCATAGATTCTGTTTAGAGTTGACCTCGTCTACGAGACTTTGCATGATAGCTGGTTTTGTCTCCTCGTACAGCTCTGCCAGCTCATCGGAAGACAACGGCACAGGCCTGGCTTGTAGCTCTTCCTCGAAGCGATTGAAGTGCTGAAGCTCTTCTTCAGGAGTATAAGCCAAGTCTGAAGATTGAGAGATAGAGCGGGCAGCAGCTGAGCTCAACCCCACTGTTCTGAGCCTTGAGACTGTCGAAGGTACTCCTCGAACTTCCATCAGCAAGGGCTGTTGCCACAGCGAACAGCAACGTGATGACGGCGCAAAGCATTGGA